GCTTGCTTATCCGTTTTCCGCCATGGCCCGCTCGACGAGTGTCCTTGCAGGTGGTTTGCTGGGTGCAGCCTCCCTGGGAGGCCTGGCATTCCTGGCGCCAGGACAAAGCCGACCTCAGCTGGAGGTGCAGAAGGAGGTGAGCGCTCAGGCTCCCGGCTTCTTGGCCTCCTCTTCCTCCTCCAGCAGCAGCGCTGCACAGGGCGTGACGGGCGCCCTGGCCGTGGCCGGCTTGAGTGTGGCTGCCGTGCGAGGCGCTTCGGCGGCCTCCCGCCAGAAGGGCATCAAGCCTCGGGCAGCCAAGAGCGTGGTGGCTTGCAGGTCCCTGGCCAAGCTAAAGATTGATGAGGTGGACCTGAAGGACAAGCGCATCTTCATCCGCGTGGACTTCAATGTTCCTCAGGACAAGAAGGACCCGACCCTTGGTTGAGCCCTGGGTTCTTTTTTGTTTTCCGGCTAGGGTCTTGTCTTGGTACAAGCAGGATGCTTGAAAGAACAAGTTACCCAGGAACATCATCACCAACACGGCCCGAATTGACGCGGCCTTGCCCACCATCAAGTATGCCCTTGACAACGGCGCCAAGTCGGTCGTCCTGTGCTCGCACTTGGGACGCCCCAACGGCCAGAAGGATGAGAAGTACTCGATGAAGCCCGTGGCCAAGGCGGGGCATCCAAGTGTTAGAAGACAATCATGAGAGTTGAGAGCTAAGGTGGTGGAGGAGAAGCTGGGAAGGCCCGTGAAGCTCATGTCGGATGTGATTGGAGAGGAGGTCGAGGCCGCATGCGCTGACCCAGAGCCAGGCACCGTGATCCTGTTGGAGAACTCCCGCTACTACGTCGAGGAGGAGGGCAAGGGTGCGGATGCGGATGGCAACAAGGTGAAGGCGGACCCTGAGGATGTGAAGAAGTTCCGGGCTTCGCTCGCCAAGTTGGCCGACATTTACTGCTCAGAAGCTTGGGCTTGTTAGCACCCTATCATTGCAATTCCTTGCGCTTGCACCGTTGATAGCTGGGAAGACAAAGCTCGCCCCAGGATGCCTTCGGAACCGCCCACCGTGCCCACAGCTCCATGGTCGGAGAGGGATTCCCTGTGAAGTGCTCTGGCTTCCTGTTGGCCAAGGAGCTTGACTACTTTGCCAAGGCGAGGATAGGAAGTTGTGCAGGGAAGTGATGTGGTGTGATGTGATGCTTTGATGTTGCCCGGTTCAGGTCGTGGACTCCCCTACCAGGCCGGTGTGCGGCATCCTCGGCGGTGCCAAGGTCGCTGACAAGATCCAGTTGATCATGAACCTGCTTGACAAGGTTGACATTATGATCATCGGAGGAGGCATGGCCTTCACCTTCATCAAGGATCGGGGAACGAATAAAGGGACCCCTTTTAGGGGTACTTGCATACAACATAGGACCTCATAGGTGAGATTCGGTACAAGCCTGGACACCTTGAAAGGAGGCGGGCGTGGATA